CACTTTCATCAGCTGGAAACTGGTGAAGGCTGACTCCGTCTGCATTTGTTTTGTTACAAAACATCACGACACAGCGCTTCCCTGGTTTCCGTTTTTTTTCGTTTTACATCCTGTTGGTTTCCGTCCATATTGTAAAAGTCAACGCGGTTTGTTTTATTTACGATAAACGAGCGAAAGTAAGTTACTGTTCACACAGCTGACAGTAACACACTTTTGAAACGAGTATCCTTTCGGTCGCAAATGAGAAACAACACTTGAGTGTGTCGCTCATAACAAGGCGTTTCTTGCAGCACGTTTCTGTTATTATTCACTTCCACTGGAAGTTAATTTAACTTAGGCACACAAATGTGCTATATATGAGCTCAACTTAGCTTAGGCACATAAATGTGCTATATATGCTGCCCAACTTAACTTAAGCACACAAATGTGCTATATATGCTGCTGAATGTTAGTTGTCATCATCCCTGGAGAGCTCTCAGCTAGCGTCGAAAGAAATAAACGAAAAGTTACAACAGCAAGGAGTCTTCCTTTGTGCTGCTCACTAGTCTCCGTTAAAAAAAAAATTTAAAAAAGGATAAATTTGTACATTTACGGAACGTGGAAGAAGAGTTGAGTTCACGAGACCAGATGACGACCTCCCATAATACGCGACAACACTTTGCGCCTAGTCGCGCTCACTCCAGAACCGATGGGCTTGAGGTCACAGTGATATACACTGGACGAAATCTAAAGCCAAATACTTTTCGGCTTGTACTAAAAGATAATTCTGAGTATAGGACTCGATAATGGTTCAGAGGAAAAAATTATAGGATTATATTTTTTTTACAGCTATTTGGAAAGGCGTGCAATTTATCTGTGGCTCTGACTACAGACATGCCATCCCTCGCGATTCGATTATTCAGCCTTCATTATTTTATTTCTCACTTCGTATTTCATAGTCTCTAAATGGTGACCTATAACAAAATAGCACAAATCTCTTTATTTTTTCCAATCGTAAATTTCGGCAGCAGCCGGACAGCGAGGGCGAAGTTGTTACTTTCAGGTCTTACATGACTCTTTACATGACTGACCTAAAATCGGAACGTTTTCAAAATTGCTGTCGATTGAGCGTCAAAAAAAATTGTAGAAAATTTGGTTTTGTGCAATATTGCGTTAAATTGCTCATTTAGGATTCTTTAACATAAGAGGAATGTATTGGGACAAAAAAAAAAAAGAAAAAATTTGGCGTCAGTTACCCTTTAACGTTCTAGTAAAAATGGATGATACTTTACGTTCCAGTGCGTACTAAAGTATGTTTTAAATTCGAAACATGCGTATCCATGTAAACAGGCCCTAAGATTGAGGAAATGTTGTGTTTTGATTGACAAGAACATCGACAAAAAGCTTACGAATAGAATTAGTTACCAAATGTGATACAAACGATGCTTAAAAGAAAAGTTTGGTTGGGGGGTCCAAATCCGAAAAGGGTCCATATCCGCTAGCGGATTTTGACCGGAGGGGGTCCAAATCTGAAAAGGGTCCATATCCGCTAGCGGATTTTGACCGGAGGGGGTCTAAATCCGCTGTGACACTGGGCAGGCGTGACACATGCCATCTCACCGATTTCTTTCAAACTTTCACAGTTTATGAAGGTCGCTAAGTTATTCGAGAATCCAAAGTAGTTCGGGCTCCCGGCTAATCCCTGGGGTATCAGAGCCCCCTCATCAAATCCCTGGGGTAAAAGGCTAAAATTAGCTCGAAAAATGCACTTTAACGAATCTCTCTCACACTAACAGAATGC